GCCAGCTATAAAACCTTCCTCTTTCAACCCCTTATTATATATACAAAATACAAAAAATTCCTTCCTACTCTCTATTACCTGTTTGCTACCTCTCATTACAGGTGGTGCTCATTTCAACGACAATCACTTCACTGACAACTTTGTCACCGACAATTAATTCACCGACAAGTTTATTTCATTGACAATTATTTCACTGACAGCTCATTTCACAGACAAAATAATTCTAGTCATTGTCATTAAGGTCAGGTTAAATTAGAGTTAAGGTTAGTGTAATTTATAAAAAAAAACTTGTCGGTGAAATGAACTTGTCAGTGAATTAATTGTCAGTGAAATGAACTTGTAGGTAACTAATTGTCGGTGAACTAAGTTGTCGGTGAAGTGATTGTTAGTGAAATGATACATATCCTCTCATTACAACTCACAACATCAAAACAATCATATATTATTATAATACAAAAACCAGGCTTTCATCTCCTGTTATCATACAAAGGCACAAATACTACTTTTTACTTTTATTATCTAATACAACTTATGATAATGAACATTTATATACAATTATGATAAAAACCTGAATTACTTGCATCCAACAAAATCTGAAATTTATTTTAATTCAGCCAAAAAGGCTAAAATGATAAAAATGGCATATGACCTATAAGTCATCTGATTTCACAATAATGATCACTCATTACCTCATTGACATGCTCCTTATAACAAGAATGTCAATTTTATTATCCACTTACTACACCCAAGATTTTGCGGGTAAATGCAAAACTCGTATGCCCTACATTCCTAGTATTATAATCCAGGATTTGTATACTAGCCATTCTAGTTGTTTGTTAACTATATAATTTGTAATTTATATTACTACATTTCTGGTATTTTCTATATACTATGTATATTCACATATAGTCATGCCTATTACTAATTTAAGAATATATTTCATATAAAATCAGAACAATCAAGCAGAATCATAATTTTGTGGACGAATTCAAAACTCGAATATAAACTATACTATATAACTTTTGACTACGTTTCTGATATACAAGGCTTTTACACTGCTATTGCAGCCTCAGAGCCTAATTATCAAATATAAGGTTTTTGAGCTACTATTATAGTTACAAAACCTAAAATATTATATAAATCTTTGCAATTATGAAGCCTAATCATCAAATATAATATCCTTATACTACTATTGCCTAATAACAATATAGGATCCTTGCACTACCAGTACAATTTTAATAAAAAAAGATAGTTAAGACTATCATTTTTTATTGTGATAGTGATCTTACTTGGTTAGCAAAATTTGGCTCCGATTTATTAATTTAGATACTTATCATTATAAGCACTCTAAGAACCATATACAAATATCTATAAAGATTAGTCAATAAAGTCATTTGGTTTGCTTTTCAGAATTAGTCAGTGACCTTTTAAAGTGCTAGTGATATAATTATATATATTATTATAATTAATAATATGAGTGCTGCTAAGAGAAAACCTGTTATCAAATATTTAATAATATTTTGTGTACAGTTAGCTGTTATAAAAAATCTATCATAATGATAATGATAGATTTTCTACAGATAGCTAATATAATTGAATGCCTGATAACTAGTTTTTCCTTGGTAGTACTTATATAGTATATTTGATTAGTGAATATTGTGATATTTGTTATATTACTAGTACTTTAAAACTAATTTTTTTATTAATAAGCCTTTAATAAAATAATTATTATTATTAAAATTATAATTAATTAGATTTTAGAAGATAATAATCAAGCATTAACACCAGAATTAAGAAGTTTAGTACAAAATCGTCAATTTTGGGCAAATGCAAAAGCTTTAGCAAAAATATTATTACCTGCTAAAAATGCTGTTAAGATGGTTGAATCAAAATCTACAACAACTGCTAATGTTTTTTTATACCTTATACAAATGGCAGTTGCTATTAATATACTTGAAAAAGATAATTTATATGAACATATGGAATTCTGTAAACAATGTATTCAATTTTATAATAAACGATGAAAAGAATTTGATATAAAAACTTATCTTTTGGCATATTTCCTTCATCCAAATTATTGAAGAAATGGTATAAAAAATTCATTATTTCACCAAATTTTATATACTGCTCTTGAAATTTAGAAAAAATTGGAAAAGAAGGATTAGCAAGTGCAAATATATTAGTTGCACAAATCAAAATGTATGATGCATATGAACCCCCATATAACTTTGCTTTTGTAGAAGGAGTTGAGTTGCCACAAACCTGGTAGAATGGATGTAAGCTAGAAAATCATTATTTGCAAAAACTTGTCTTGCATTTACTAGCAATTACACCTCATAGTGCAAGTTGTGAACGCATATTTTCAGTTCTAAGTTGGATTACTCAGAAAAGAAGAAGCAGGTAAATTTAGTAATATGCACATAAAACACAAATTGCATATAATAATTTATATG